ACACGTTTTATAGTGTTGTTACAGGACCACCTGCATGGTCTCCAGGATGCTGGAAAAATGAATTCTTGAATGGGTGGATGGGTTCCTGCCCCTTACCCATCCCCACAGAATTCAGAACCTGTGCTTCATCTCTGAATTCTTCAGCAAATCTTCACCCCACCAACGGCCTCTGCTGCATCTCATGTTTGTGCACAGAAGTTTGCCCTTCCCCAAGCCTGCCCTGCTTCCCCCGGCTCAGCTCCTATGCCCTGCATCCCCGATGCTGTCACCTTGGTCAGTCCCTGCAAAGCTCGGTGTTCCCACAAGGAGCACAGAACTAGTGCCAAGCTGCCTGCCTTGCCTGCAAGTTTGGTCTCTAAGCTGCATCAGAGGGTTTTTCTCTTCTCTGGATCCAGCATAAAAGTGACTCCTCCATGCTGGGTCCTTGTCTTCAGACAGGGACGGGTTCGGTGCGGTAAAAGAGTTGTGTGGAGGCTCCCTTCAGTTTGGTGACAACTGGAGGGTGTAGGAAGTTTGTGACAAAAGGGATCAACTGACCAGAAGATCCAGTCTTAAAAAGTACTATTAAAAAGCACTATTAAACTCATTTTCCCTTTAATTCCTTTAATGTGCATTAGCTGGGTGAGTCCAAGATGGGTTTAATCTGTTTTTAGCAGTAAAAAACAATCGTGAAGTTCAGGTTTGAATCCAGCTCAGTGATGAGAGGAAAAATTTGGGATTCTGCATGCTGGACTTTAAGTATTTGTCTAGTGAGTGAAGGTTCAGAGATAGGAGAAAACGTCCTTATTTTATTTGATACAAGTGTTTTGTTCCCAACTGAAATCCCCAATTCTAGTAGTTTTTTGGTGTGTTTTGTTTTTTTTTTTTTTTCCCGTAGGTAGCTCAGATGCCATCGTATAACCTTGAGAGCCCAGTACGGAAAAGCCATGTGTCACTTTTTGATAAATTGAGAGGGATTTAATTAAATGAACATATATAAAAGACACATGAATGAGAGATGGTCCAGGAGCTCCTTTAAATTAACTTAGCAGGAGGAAAGAAAAGAGTGAATCTCTATCAGTGGTGTAACTGAAGGGCACCACTTTTTATAATATAACCAAGAAGAACTACAAAGCTTAAGAAAACTTGGAGCATTCCCTCCCTCTGAGTTCTCTAGGTTGTTATCATATGCCAGCAAACTAAAGAGAAGGAAATAAAGTGCTTATTTAAGCAGAAAGAACGAATTTTCACTGTTAGTCTTATACAGAAGACTCAAACCCACCAGGTGACTTCTGATCACAAACGCTCGGCTTCTCAGGGTCTCAGGAACACCCAGTGCAATAAAGGCAAAAATTCGAAACACACCTCCTGTTTCACATTTTTGTACCTGCCGCATTCCAAAGAGGTTTTTAGTAATAAAAACTCCCATACCACAACAGAGATGAAAGCCCCTCTTTGTTTGCTGTTTAAAAAAAAGCTGATAATGTAAAAAATACCTCAATGTATATTATTGGCTATGATTCAAATTGTTTACAGAACAGGGGTTCCAGCACTCATGTGAACCTGGTCCCCAGGAGAGCCGGGACTCGAAGGAGACAAGTTGTTGAAACAATACCAGGAAATGTGCGCACAAAGCTAGTTTTTAAAATTATATTTACTTATAAAAATAAACCTTAAAAAGAAACATCAGAGGAAAAAATTCTGCTGCAAACTCGAAGTCCTGTGATTCTCCAGCAAGCAGGCTAGGAGAAAGCAGGTGGGAAAGACCAAAGCATCCTGCTTGCATTTTGGTACAGGAATTCACTCATGACAGTGCAAGGCAGCAGGCAGAATCCAGCTTGATGCAAAAGAAAATCCTATCTCAACACAGGGAGGAGATTTTATCATCTGCCCTGTTTCATGCCTTTATTTAAACTAAATTTCCCTGGCAAAAGAAACAGAAATCAAACCAACAAAGCCCAGAAGGTGTTTTTGTGTGTGTGTGCACATGTACTTTTAAAATCCAAATCCAGCTCTTAGCAGACCAGCCACAAGCAGTCCTTTCAACAAGATCAGCTCATTTTGAAATCCAGGGTCCTATTTCTGGCATCCAGACCCAGGTGCCTGGCCAGGTCTCCCCAGGGCACAGCTCTCTCCTGTTGCCCAGCTGCCCCATGGTGTCCTGAGGGCTTTGCTCCACAGGACACGTCCCCTCACCAGGGAGCTGGGCAAGTCCTCTGTGCTTTGCCATGGCAGGGACAGGTTTTGACAGGGCAGCTGATGTTCTCTGATTGCCACACGATTTTCGATTTTCGTGAGAAGACAATAAAAGGAGGCGGGAGCACTGGGTTAGGAAATCCAGCCCTCTGCCAGACACCAGCGCCTTCAGAGACAAGGGCTGTGTACAGGCGGTTTTTACTCCGTTCACTCTCACTTACAGTGAACTGGGAGCCCTTGTCTCTTGCAGAGACTCTGCCTGAGACCTTGGGAGATTCCCGTACCACTGTTTTTGTGTGTCTGGCATGGGAGAAAGACAGCAGTTAAATAAATTGTATCCTTCATGTCAGAACTCTGCACTGACTGTTTTTGATTATTTTGATATTTTGATTCTTGCGATTTTTGCTTCACGCAGCCTGCAGCAGTGATGTTGAGGCAGTTCCAGAGTGGCAGGAGATGCCAGATGGCCTCTGACTGCCCAGATGAGGTGTCCCTTTGAGCAGAGCAGATCTGGAGACAGCTGGGACACACAGGGTCTGACAGGGGCTCCCAGGGCCCCCTTGGCCTGTCCACAGCAACGCCTGCCCCAGAGATGCTCAGAAGTGTCTCAGTGCCACTTCTCATCTCCAGATGGTCCCACATACACACACAGCCCCTGACTTGGCTGACCAAGCAAATGGCTTGTCCAGGGATGAAATTACTGCTGCTCCAACCTCTTTTTAGAGTCTGTAGCTAGAGCCCTGTAGACTGCAGTGGTGAATCTTCCTACAGTCAGAATTATGACAGGCAGATCAGATGATGTCTGCTTTCCTGGCCTGCCATGTGCACTAATTCATCAGCCAGCTTGGAAATACAGCCTGACAGCTTGCCAGGAGCTTCTGGAAGCCTGGTCCTGCATGCCGTGATCCTTGCTGTCAATTAGCTTGGGAAGCAAAGGCCAGTGAACCAACCAGACCAGTTCTGGTGTCCTCTGTCCAGAGAGTGCAGACCCTGTGCTTGCCAGAGGAGTGGCAGGGGTACCTGCAGGTAGACTCTGAGGAACACCTGGTTCTCTATGTGCTGCCTTCTTCTGCAGTGTGGTTGCCCCAGCACAACCGAACAATTAGAAGGCACGAGATGCAATAAGGGGGACATTTAGAAAACCATAATTTCCTAGTGTCTTGAATAAAACCCTAGAAAAATGGCAATAAATTTTTTTTAGCAGTCTTGAATTTGCTTCCAGGTGCATAGTGACTGCATGCATTTCCCTTGTGAACTCACAGTTTTGTTGTCACTTCTCCACTGGCATCACAACTAAGAGATGCTGAGAAACCTGACGGGCTTAGATAACACACTAGTGTATGCTCTGTAAATGCCAGTGGTTTGTCAGCTGGCTAATAGAACTGAAAGGAAAAATATTTTTCATTTAACACGCAATGTCAGAAATTTAAAGGCTTTTCCCTTTCCAAAACAGTGCGAAAACAAACAACCAAAACATTTCATGAATCTCAGAGGAGAAAAGATAAGGTTGCTTGCCACTGTTTCATTTGTTTCCTGTCATCAGGGAGATCAAACCACAGTCTTTTCTACTGGTACCAGAGGCAGCTTGGCGCCCTGCGGCATAGACCTAAAAGTGGTGCAGGACAGAGGGAAAGCAAAGGAAGCTGTTCTTCCTGAGATTACAGCTATAGCCATTTCATTTGCCCTTCACTGCCATTCAGCTTTTTCTGTTTCTCAAGACCTGGTGTCCTGGTAGGGGGAAAATCCTGCTCCCCTCTCTCTCCACCTGCCCCTAAACAGAGCTTCACATTCTGGAAATGCCTGAAGAGGCCAGTCTTCCTACAGTCAATAATATACTTATGCTTCTCCTTGACAAAGCTGACCCTTACTCAGCCATCATTTGGTTTTGGAGGGGCATCCGCACAGCCTTTTGCAGGCTCTGACACATGGCCATGACCAGACACAAGGCATTTACAATCAGGAAGCCTCATAGCTGTGCTGACACTGAGAGACCAGGCCAAAATGGCAGAAAGAGGGGTAGGAAATCGGGATTTGCTGTTTTCCTATGTGGCCTTAGTTCCTGAGGCTCATATTGGAAGACTTCAGAAAAACATACCCCTTTGCTGCATGTGTACCAAATGAGCTGTGCAGTGGGTGCTTCTGCCTAGAGACACAATGTTGTTAGGCTCGTATTAGGTATTAAGAACATAATACACACAGAAATCTGTGACAGACAAAGACAAATTTGTGCCTAAAACTGCTCAATGCCATTTCTGTAACAACTGCACTGTCAGCTCACTGGAGGTTAAAACAGCCTTCTACTGTCTTCAGCTGTGGTCACATTTCTGTGGTCTTCTCCATAATTTGTTTAAGACCTGTTTTATTCATCAGAAGTCTGTAAAACAAGCATTAGTGTATTTTCCCATGATGAGAGAATTTTGAGATGGCAGAGACTTAACGAGATAATTTACTCCATCTCCCAGCCAATGCAAACTGGTCCCAATAATATATTTGTCATCATTGTTTTATTCAGTGTAGTCTTAAAATCCTCAAGATTGCAGCTTAATCCTTCTCCTGAGTGACAGGTTTTTCCTGACATTCAGGTCAGGCCTTTCCTGATGGCTATGTTGCCTCCGCCGTCCACCTCAGGACTGCAGTTCTTTGGCTTTGTCATATGCTATAGGGGCAAACGGTTTCTGGTGCACAGGGGGGGTACAGGATTGATGGCTCTGACACTTCTAAATGAGCACCAGGCAAAGAGCAGAGAGAGCTGAGAATCCAGGTTCTCCTGCAAACTGCTTCTCTCTCTCCGAGTTTCACACATTCCCCATTTTCAGCTCTTTTACCTTGTTGATGAGGCTGGGATCTCCCAGGCTGCTCTCGTTGTCTTCTGAACTCTTCTGCTCCTCATCTGATGTGACGTCCTCCATAGGTATCACAGAGACTGGGCACACCTTGTAGGGCTCGGTGTAGGCACTGCAGAGGAGGAACAGACACAGACCAGCTCACCGGTGTTTCCCTGCCACCGCTCAGGTGTGACAAACCCTGTGCTGCCCAGGGATGCCCAGGCAGGGCAGGCAGTCCCTGCAGACCTGTCAGGCTGGCAAAGCAGGACTTCTCAGGCTTTGGTTTTTTGCTGCCAGGTTCAACAGCAACCACTGGGGCAAGCAGAAGGATCTGAAAGGAGCAGTGGGAAGCTGGCTGAACTCGTTCCAGCTTCCCCAAAGGATCGGTGTTCTGCCTCAGTCCAGAGCAGAATGGTCACACTTATTTGTAACCAGAACTACTTTGTTCCTCCCAAGTCAGCCCCTCACAATGGATATAATAAAGCCATACTAACCTCTTACTGCTCAGTAAAAATGGAAGTTAGATATTTTAACAGTGGATTTTCTGGGAAAACATAAAAGGACGAGAAAAGTATAATTGTAATACCAATGGCATCAATTAAAGCACAAGATACTCAGATCCCAGAATCCTTGAGCTGTTTCAAGGGAATCTGAATTCAGCTTCAGAGACCCAGAGAATGCCATGCGATAAGAGTGCTGTATCTGGTGTGTAATACAGAGCAGTGGATGCCCAGCATTTCCTTACAGAAAAAAAAATAAATTAAGATTGCCAGTGATTTCAAATCCTCCACAAAGCACGACTAGAGGAAGGTTCTTCAGATGGTGCCTACCCTTTGCCTTAGAATAGTGTCTTTTATTGCTGATCTGAATATGCCTAGCTCCGAATTTCAGATACAGGGATCTTGTTAGACCTTTGTCCGCTGAATTGGAGGCAGTCTTCCAAATTTTGTTACTGTGCAGGTACTCACAGGCTGTATTCAGGTTGCCCCTTCATCTTATCTTTTATAGGAAATAGGTGAAGATCTTGTTGTCTTACTACGTCATGCCTTCTATCATTTAGTCATTCTAAAATCTCGGAACTTTATCCAGTCATTCATTAGCATGATCCAATTTGCTAACCACTTTAGCACCAGTTTTTACTACCAGCCAGTTTTAGTACTGTTTCTGGAACTGCAACATAAGACACAATATTCCAGCACTAGCAAAAGAAATGCAGAGTATACCAGTGGTGACACCCATCTGTTCCTACCCAACTTTACTGTGTTTTTACATTCAAGGATCAGATCCATAATTTTGGCCAGTGTCATTCTAGGAGCTTATCTAGATCTTATCCACCACAGTTGCTCCAAGCCTTTTACATTTGCAGGGGTAGGTGCCAGTGTGCACCACAGAGCAGGTCTGTTGTCTCCAGACACAAGCTCTGACATCTCCTGTGTTCCTGCAGATATCTTGGCTAACCAGGTCGGTCTGTAACAAGGGGCTGGCTTACTCAGCATATATGATTTCTTTAGTTCTCATTTCCTCTAAAACATTATTAATTTGCTTTCGCAGCTTTGCCTCATCTCTTTATTTTTCTTCCATCTCTCACTTGGAGATCCCAGATGTGAACAAATCCAAAACTCCAAAGCCAGCACTAGAGTGACAGGGCAAAGATGGGTTAACGTAGGTGGGAGGGCAATGAAGGAAGAGGCTTTGGAGGCCATTGACCAGGCTCATATTTCCAAAAGGAAACTCCCTACATATCTGCACTCAAGACCAAGCTGCAAGGAGGGCTCTGTGTCTCCATGCAGGTGTGGCTGCCAGCCTTTCTTTTATGCCACCAGCTTTTGCCTCACATGCAGCCCAGGAGCCCTCGGGAGCTGCCCGGTGCCTTTGCCGTGGCCGGGCGCAGGGCCACGCAGCAGCGCAGTTCCCCACCATCCTCTCCTGTTTGTTACCAGCATCTGCAGCGTTTCGGTACGGGTGCCATCATGGCACTTCTGAAACTGCACAGAGGGGCCTGAGCAGCAGCGCGAGTGAGGGTGAGGCAGATGCAGCACCGCGCATGAGGGCCATCAGCAGTTTGGCCGGTCTCTCGCTGTACGCACACAGCCCTTCTGCCATTTGTAATCGTTTGCCTTCCCAGACATGAAATTAAGTCCCTCCCTCCTTTTCTGTCTCTCTCTGTCTGATAAATGACTGTGTTATGTTAATGTAAGAACACATTATAATTTGGGAAGAATGTCTCAGTCTGGTAATCATTGTGAGTGGCATTATTATAGGCTCATACAGTAGCAAAACTTGCATTATTACTGAACTGTCGCATGGGCTTCATTTGTAGTAGGCCTGCAGTCCAGTGGCACTGGCTTGTGTTGCAAACGACCCAAGATGCTATAGGTCTCCTTTGCAGATGGGATGAGCACAGGCGGTTTGTGCTACCCTCTCCATCCTGCCCTTCTCCAGCCACTCCAGCAGCTCTCAGGCCTCCACTTTTGGGTCTGTTCCATATTGTCAAGGAGCTCTTGGGCAGTACACCTTTCCTTATGCCCAGCATGTGTTTTACTCCAATAAATTCACATCCTTTCATCCATTTTATATGTCTATGCTCATGTCGTCTCCTAGCAATCCTGGCTCCTGAAGAGTTGAGCTGTGCCCAGGAACTGGTCACCAGGTTGGAGGCGCCCTGGGCAGCAGTGTCTGTAAAAGGCAGAGGTTTGTGTTCAGGCCTTAACTTCCTGATGTTCACAAATGTGGGAATGGGGTGGTACATTCCCAGGTGCTAAGAATGCTTCAGCTGTAAGATGTGATGTTACGTCAGGTCTCTGTCTTCACTGCAGTTTGTAACCTCTTTTTTCTACAGCTGTGGCCTGCCTCCTTCGTTTTCCCTCTTATTCCTCCTCAGAGCCCAGTGATTTTAAAGACCTGCCATAGAGAGCGTCTGTCCATCGTTTAGTGGCCAGCCGAGTCCTAAACCATGATGCAGTAACATCAGTGTTTATTAAAACAACATGGTTGTTCATCAGCTACAGCAGTTTTCTCCTCCTCCCTCAGAGTTCAAATGGATCCTGACACTTTGTGTGACTTACAGGGCATATCTAAGTGCATGTAAGATGACTCCAAGCCAAATTCACTACCTTGAACTACACCTGAAAAAAGGCTAAGATTTTCTATAAAATTAACCATTATTATTATATAGAATATAATTTATAATTAAATTATGATCTATACATAATCTATAATTATATATAATAATAGATACTTATCAGTCATAAATGTTCAAGACCTTGTGTTTCTATATTACACTAAATTATATTTTTCCTTTGGCTTATTAAAAGCACTGCTACATAAACGTACTGCAAGCAATAAACTTTAGTGTAATGGAAGATGGTAATAGAAGTCTGGGTGTGGAGAATAAGACAAGAAATCATCCCAAGGTTGGGAGTATCTCAGTAGACATGGTAATCCCCAGCTAATTCTCTTCCTTGTCGCAATTATATGAATGAGAGCAGACACACGATCTGCTGCTCCTCCAGCAGTCGTCTGTAACCACCCCAAGAGTCAGCCAGCACGACAGAGGAAGCAATGGGCCTTCTGGGACAGCCTAACCTTAAACGGAGTGAGTAACTGCAGGAGCAGGCAGTGCAATGAAAGTCTTTCATTTAGCACCAGTCCCACTATAATTGCAGAGCTGCTGGTAGGTGTGGAGCAGGGAGAAGCTGTATAGCTGCGCTCCACCAGCGATGTATGCCCTTGCCTGTGAACACCTATTGGTACCTCTGGAGAGAGCAGCTCTGGAGTCCACCTGGTTATCGTGCCCCTACAGTGATGTTTACATTTGATCTCAAAGGACCTGTGGACTGAGTGGAGGATGAAGCCATCAAGGAAAGGGAACCTCTTTTTAGTAGAGATCCTGCTAACTCTTTAGCAAAACCAGGGCTCTGGATTGCTAAAACACAATTCTTTCAATTCTTTGCTGAAGAGAAGCAGTGGTGCCTAGTTCAGTTAGGCTTAGATGCACCAAAGCTGTGAAATGAATGTCAGTTATGACCCTAAACATTTTTCTGTGGGTACTGGTGATTGCATTGGCAATTACTTGCCCCAAGTCAGCAAAGCAGGTGCGCAGGATCTACCCAGGAAGGTGCGAGCAGTCATTCTCTCTCTGTAGGGTACATCCTTGACAAGTATAACCTCCCTGGCGCCCACCGCGTGGTGATGAGCCTGACACATCCACTCAGAGCCAGATACGCGCAGTTCACGAATGACTGGGGAACTGCTGCCATTGCACTGCCATCGCACTGCCATCCACAGACCCCAGCCTGTGCCCGTCACTGGGATCTTGGCTGGATATCATGTACTGGATGCAAGAAGGAGACCAGAATCTCACCTGGACACAGCTGGGTTAATGCAAAGCCCACATATATAAAACCCCCTCCATCCAGTGGGAAGGGGAAAAATAAAGAAAAACCCAAAATCTCTCTATTATTGGACCAAATCGATTGAATGCAACATTTTTCTACATGCAGTATCCCCATCTCTGGCTTTATTTCAGGTCACAAGCCTAGCAGTTACTAGTTCGAACTCTGTCTTGTTCAGACAGTGACATCCTTATTGCAAAAAATTAAAATCCTATGTACTTCATCAGTGATGGTAATTGGGAGAGGTAATGGGGTGCTGAATGACCCTGTTTTATTAAAACTGATTATATATTTTCTTGTATCCATTTGTAAAGGATTTTTTTTAATTCATTCTGCAAAAGGAAGGCTCATTACTGAAGGAAATTAAAGTCCAAATGCATTTAAAGCCAATAAAAGGAAATTCAGATTAGTGTAGCATGTGTTTAGCCAGTCAGTCGCCTGTTACGGCAGCTCATCAAGGCAAATATTGCAGCTGAAGTCTGAAAAGGGCAGGAAAGACATGATGTCTGCTAATAGCATACGTGGCCTGACAAGGCAAGGTGGCACAGGGACAGTAACATTTCACACTCCGAGGCACAAGCTGTTTGCCTGCTGAGGCCAGAAGAGGGTTCTTCCCCATGCCACAAACACCTCAATTTGAATTTTGCTCTTTCTTGCATTGGTGCGGTGCAAGATACAGGAGACGAGAAGAGGATTTTTGGTCAGGTGCATAAGGTTTTGCTCTGTTCTGAACAAC